ATTTTGATGTCATGATATGTAAATTAAAACTTGTTATTTTACGGTGATAATCTTGTTTTCTTGTGCCCAATAATGCATAATTTCATTTGATAAACACGTTTAGATTGAATGGTAATTTATAATCAGTCACAAGAACGTCGAATCTGAATCACTTGAAAAAAACACGGGGGTGCTTAACTTTTTTCCAGGTGTATATTAGTAACAGCTTAATGAGGTAAAATTTTGAGTGAATTAATAGAAAAATGGATTCAAGTCATCCACAATAAGAAAATCTAGTATTATTTAATAGATAATAACAAATTTAGTTTTATGAAATTGAAAGGTATAAACAACAAAATTATAATTCTGTACCACAAAGCATCTTGTTACATTGCAGAATTTATAAACATTACTTGAGAGTAATTTTTTACTTCAAAGAACTACAAGTTAATAATATCATTAATTACAAGCTAAGTACTGATATAAAAATAGATATATGCTAATTTACAGAAATAGTACAAATAAAACAAAAGTAACTTGTTATAATGAATATCTAGTATCCAGGGTATTAGTAAATGGAACAAAAGTAACTTGTGAAAATTTTGTTTGTAGTTAAGCACAAAGTTACACACTGGGCCAGTTGTGCTGTGCCATTTACGGGTGGGTATCGAAACTCGAATTTTAGCGTTATAAATCTTCAAACATACAGCTGTGCCACTGGGATACATCTGAAGATCTTCAAAATTAATTTCCAGGCCTGGAAAAGTCATGGGAAATAAATAAAAACACAAGTGTCCTATAAAAGTCGTGGATAACTGTGACCTTATGAAATGCATTATCTAGTTTAATAACAATCATTTCATCGAACAACTAACTTAATTACAATGTGGTTAATTAAACAAAATTAAAAATGTAAAAAAGCGCGAGGATGGATTAGATATGAGAGGAAATGCATGGCTATGGTTACGTCTCCGTTTGTTAATTAACTTTCCGTAACTTCGTTCCGACGAAACTTTAGCGACACAAGTCCTTACTTAATAAAACTGGTTTATTCTTTCCGAATATAACTTTGCGATACACTTAATTTCAATATTCGCGCTAAAACAAACACTATAACGAACGAACGTTAACTTCAACAATACCCTGTGACTGCAGTTCAATTACTCACTATCTTCACACACATTACCTTACCGTCACGTTGTCACCCTCTTTTATATACCAGACTACCCTATATCTAGTAAATACTAGAGCATTCGCCAAAGTACAGGATAGTTCTAGAAAGTAGAGGGCGTGAGAATCACATGATCTCGATGACGCAACACTATAAAGTGTCATGAAAAATAGCTTTAATGATCTGGAAAATTATTTTTAACATTTTTTATTTTCATGTAAAACACCGGTTACTATGTCATTTTTCGTTAACCATTTTCTGTCATGGGTACGTATTGTATAATGAAGTGTTTTTTCTTGTTGGTTTTAATAAGCTAGTTATAGAAAATGTCCTTTCTGTAGATATCAAAATAAAGTCACAAATCGATATCATAACTCTGGGCATTGTTGACTAACCCTCACTCTAATTGGACCTTCTATACAACTTGTAGCATCTATTCCTACGGTTTTTTTTTTTACCTTGTACACCAATTATTTATTTCAATTTTATCAAATGAATGTGGATTTTGTATTTCTGAAAATTATACTTTGACCACTCTTTTTAGTTTTGTAATTCGAGTTTTTTTTCTTTTTTTTTGGCGCAAAGCTACATAATAGACTATCTGCGTTTTGTCCACCACAGGAAATCTAACCCCAGATTTTAGCCTTTCAAGTCTGTAAACTTACCGCTGACCAACCAAGGGACATATTTTTACTAGTTATAAAAGAAAAAGTCATTACAACTGTGTGTGTGTGTGTATGTGTATTAATTGACATCCTGTTTTTAGATAAATTAGTAATGAAAAAAATCGGATACGATTATTATTATTCTTTGTTATTTCACCAATATTCATTGTGGAATTCGTCTTTCATTTAACTCAACAAGGCAATAGCAGAAAAGAATACTAAGTATTTGAGGTCACCAAAGGGTGGTTACCCCCAATTGCATTCGATTATTTTATATAAACATTGTCCACAGATTAAAAATACTAATTGTGTTTTAAAGTTGACTGGATCCACACACACTTGAAACTACAAAAAATATAACCATAATGTTGCGTATCTGCTTGTTTGTTAACTTCCAGTAGAAATTCTTTCCGAGGAACTTCAGCGATACAAGTTCTTTCGTAATTAAACCAGTTTATTCTTTCTCGATACAAACTTTTAATACACAGTAATTCCACAGTCAGTACGTTTCTCGTCACTTTAAACTTAACAACTTTTATAATACACGTTATAAATCACAGCGATTCATAACCTCGATATTTTGCTCTCTACAAGTGCAAAACACACACTAGCTCGAAACAGAATCGTAAATTACCCAAATCTCACCTTGACTACTGTTTGCTTTATCATACAGTCATTCCCGCCGGCTTTTCTGCCAGGCCTGTATACAGACAAAGAGGCGTCTGGATTATACTCGGACTTCCTCGATAATTCGAGAAATTCAGTCACGCATGCGCAGCAGCGTCACGTGACTTCCGCTGTCGTAACAATGACATCTGTAACATTTTGTTGCTTATTTAAAAAGTGTAAAATGAGCTGTAAATATGTGTATTGTTTAAAATATTAAGGGGTTCAGCATGGGTGCGTAAATTTTGAAACAATTTACATACTCTTAAAATATGAGTAATTTTTTTAAGTTAACTTCTTTCGCAAACAAGAAAGAAAAAAATAAATTATTTCTGTAAATTACAATTAATAATTAAAGCCCGGTCAGATTCCAAGAGAAAACTCCGAAATTACTACTTTTGTGGTAAACATGTACAAAACTTGGCCACACCATGACAATGTGAATTATTTCTCTTTATTTTTAGGTCATAAAGTAATCTTGTGGTATTTTCCAAAAGGTACACTAATGTAGAGTCTGACGTGTCCAAGTTGCTTTAGTTTTTGAGAAACTGGAGCATGTAATGTAACAATTTTGGATATGATTTATGTTTCTCAATTTCAATCTTTGTTTTGTAAAACAAACAAAACTACACTCGAACCAGCAGACCTTGGTAATCACACGTGTGGTGCGCATGCGCTGATTGGCTGCAAAATACAGTACACGCAGAATGTGCATGATTTGAGAAAGATACCAAGCGCATCGGTGTTAGTTTGTGAGTATAAATTACTTTTCAACAAGTATGTTAGTATATATTGTTATTTATATACTTTTTGATTAATAAAAATAATGCATTTTTTTAGTGGGTCCTCGAAATATTTCTGCTTAGGGCCCCAAAAAGCTAGTACTACCCTTGCTTGTATTAGTTTTTTTAGTGAGAAATGTGTTAATTTTAGTGCTGTATATCGAAGCACTTTTCAGGTCATTTCACTTCAATACGAATACATAGTAATATATACTTTTTGTTATTCTTCTTTGGTGAAAGTCATGTCAACAACCCTCAGTGGCACAACGGTATGTCTGCGGACTTAGAACTCTAGAATCCGGGTTTCGATACCCGTGGTGGGCAGAGCACAGATAGCCCATTGTGTAATTTTGTGCTTAATTACAAACAAACAAACAAACAGTAATGTCAACAAACTCAGAAATATGTGAAATTAGGACATTTATTTGTCATTACATTGTTGTACTCTGCTTCAGGTCAAACAGTAGCAATAAAAGTTAGTTAATTTATTAATAATTGAAATAAAACAACCCTATCTTAAAACCAAAAAAAAAAAATATTCATTCCAGATCTCTAGTTACCTAAAAACATAGTGAACCTTTTTAAATATTTTTCTATTTTTTGCAAAAGGTTGAAAATGACATAAATTTCAATAATATTTAAGTAATTTAAACTTTTTGTTAGTAAAAAAGAAACGTGATTCACATGGTATAAAATGTCTGAGTTGGTGAATCGTGATCTGTAGATCAATATTTTGTGAGATATTTCCTCACAGTATTCATTTTAATAATTCACTTTCCTTTACTAACCCTACAAGATTTCCCAGTAAGGAGAATATAATATAATTTCAATTGGACAACTTGTGTGCCGCCACCGACAAGGTCTTTGTTAGTAGGTATTTCTCTAAGTTCAGAACTGTTTCGTATCTTTAATTTAACCCAAGAATAGATTATTCAACTTCCCATATTTGGTAATATAACCTTTCCATGGAAAGTGGTACAGTTGAAGAATGATAGATGAGTTCTAATACATCAGTTCAACCGTGCTTTTTGGGTAAAAGTAAAGTAAAAAGTGGTACAGTTGAAGGATGATAGATGAGTTCTAATACTATCAGTTCAGCCGTGCTTTTTGGGTAAAAGTAAAGTAAAAAGAAAGTCTAAAAAAGCAATTAATAAAGGAAATAAACCTTAAATAAATAGTGTTCCGACCACTACAGTGTCTGTTGTCCCAACCAGCCTGATGAGCTCTGGATTGAGCGAAACGCGTCGTCGGCAATGGATATGACGAACATAGTGTGGTTTGAATACTATTATCATACATTATCCAAATTTTTAACAATCCCTAAGAGACTAGATATAGAATGTAGTGTTAAAGAATGTAATAGGTCTAATACTAATGTATTATGACATGCATCATTAATAAACCTTACTGTTTATTTTGTTTGATGGTCTATAAAATCCACTCTCTTCACTGTTGGAGACAAATGTTATTCTGTACTTTACTTGTAATCCAATCAATACACATATTGTTGGAATTAAAAGTTAATCTTTATTTTCACTGTGTTACACAAAATATACTGTACCCTTGTTGGGATAGAAAATTATCGTCTATTTACATTGATGATTCGTATGGTTATCTAGCTTGAAATAATAGTTTTTCAGTAGCTTAACGATGAAGAAAAACAAATAGTTTCGTAAGTTGGTTAATGTTAAAGAAAGGTTACAAACAAGAAATGTTTTTAATACTTTATACCATGTGTGTATTTTTCAAGTCTACAGAACAGATGGATTTCATTGTTTATAATTCTTAATAATTAAAGTGTCGTTTATTGATTTTGAGTTCGTAACAAAGACTTGCAAGTTAAAATTAAAATTTGTTACAATAGATTCGTTATTTATTTTGAAGAAACGTCTACTATGATTCACTTTCTCGGAGTCAGTTATTAGCATATTGATTTTATTACGGACAACATAACCTCATGTAAACTATTTTGGTTTTTAAAAAATAATGAAAATGAATATTGTAAAATACGTTAAAACATTAAATAATTACTGCAACGACTTGTGCTAACTGAAACAGAGAAAATGGAGTTAAAAATTATCCGTAATAAGAAAAGATGAAAAAAACGAAAGCACGGAAATAAAGATACAAAACGAAAACACTATCACCAGGGTAAAAATTTGAGCCGTTATATCTAGTGCCCAAGATTATCAGTTAGTTATTCTAAAGTTCGAAAAATAAAATGAACAGATATTTTTACTTCCAAATTTATCTATTGCAATTCTAAACACTAGCACAGAGAGTATTTATCGTTTCTCATCATCGTTGCATTAACTGATGATAATGTTCAGGCACTAAGTATAACTTGTTATAGTCAACACAATATTAAAAACAAATCGCTAACATATCAGCTTGTCTAAACCGCCTTTTTTAAAAATATTTTATTATAATTCGTCAACAGATGGTGCAGTTGTAGATGGGTGATATCCGCCAATACTAGGTTGACAAATAGTGCGATCAAAAAGTAATTTCACATGATTATTGATATTAATACATCTCGTACCACACACATTCAAAGTAGGTAGGATTTTAAAATGTCTTTCATTCATAACGAACAGAAAAGAAGGCTTGAAATGTTCCATTTTCTCTAATTCTCTCTTTGATGACATTTCCAGCCGATTTTCATTACTTTAACTTTGAACTTTCTTCAGCTTCTTTTTACCCACATCCAAATCGGCATAATAATTTTCGCTATGCAAAGAGAAAAACAAATTGTCAAAAATATCCGATTTTATTACAAGATAAAAGTATTTACTGATATATAATAACTATTTCTTTTTCGAGGGTCCGTGTTTTTAGTTTTAAAGTCGTGTTTTCAGTGAATAATGTCAAAATATATAACAAGAAGACAAATAAATAACACGTCGTTCAAAAGTTTCTTAGAAAGTATTGATATTCGTTAGAATACTACTGTCAGGGGATTAATTAGGGGTCGTCGAGCAGAATTGCATTAATATATTTTTAAAATAAGTATTGCAAAAAAATCCTCATTTATAGAATAATTTAATGAAATATATAATGTCAACACTAATCATGGCCCAAGTGTAACCTAGTCGTTAACGTATCGCACTGATGATTCAAAACGTGTGCTACTTTCAGATGTGGGTGCACTAAAAGAGTGACAGTCAATTCACACTATTTTTGCCGTTATAAGGGTGCCAGTCAAATCCCACTATTTGGTGAGATAAAAGTAGCCCACTGAGTTGTTGACTACCTGCCTTTCCTTTTACATATCCATTCCAAATTAGATACAACTATGCGCAAATAGTTTTTATCCTTTTGTGTGTGTGAATAAAAAAACAAACAAACTTACCATCCTGTTACGTATTCAGGGTCTTCACACTGTAGGGTCTTGGCATTGAATACGGATCCTAAACTACATCCATAGGACCTGGCATCACCGTCAATACAGACGAAGAAATATCTACAATCAGTTGGATGGGCATGACGTGTGTAAACTCCTGGTTGTTCAGCAATTTCAAAGGGGTCTGGGCACACAAAACCCTCTGCTATCTCTGCCGACGTTAAACACACATTATTATTACATTTGTTATAACATGTTTACTTTAAATTAGCTTAGTAAATACTTTTTACTAACACGTTAACATTTCTAGTAAGTAGTTTAGTAAAAACTTTTAACATATCTATTAATTAGTTTGGTAAAAACTTTTAACATATCTATTAATTAGTTTAGTAAAAACTTGAACATATCTATTAATTAGTTTGGTAAAAACTTTAACATATCTATTAATTAGTTTGGTAAAAACTTTAACATATCTATTAATTAGTTTAGTAAAAACTTTAACATATCTATTAATTAGTTTGGTGAAAACTTTAACATATCTATTAATTAGTTTGGTAAAAACTTTATCATATCTATTAATTAGTTTGGTGAAAACTTTAACATATCTCTTAAGACTATGAATTTCTTCTTTTTCGCATTAGTTTAAATTTGGTTTAGGTAAAGATTGCGGGTTAGTTCACTAAATTTAAGTTTGTTTGAAGTTAAGCACAATGGGCTAAGTGTGCTCTGCCCACCACGAGTATCGAAACCTGGTTTCTAGAGTTGTAAGGCCGCAGACATACCGCTGTGCCATTGGGGAACCTCTAAACTTAAATTGGGATTTTGTTGTGAACCATTTCTGTCAAATATTCCTACCTTGTTGACCACAGTTATGCACCTTGTCGGCCCAAACACATACTCTCTGATCAGAGTCGTAGGCTAGTCCTGGGGGGCACTCGTAGCGGGAAGCCTCGCCGTTCCAACAGGAATAGAACACTCGGCAGCTCTTGGAATCCCCGAAGACACCGTAAAGACGAGGGCAATGTGGGGTACTTATTGGAGGTTCTGTATGTGAGAGAAAATACTGTATTACCAACGTTCTATAGAATCTTTGATCAAGCTAATATTGGCTCAATTACCCATTCTAGAGAAAGTTAAAAAAAAAAACAACACACGAAGATACGTACAACATTTAACACGTCCTTTCGGATCCAGGGGATGTCTTTACACTGCAGTTTGTTGGATATTAAAAGTAAGTTCGGTCCGGATACCCCCGAGGGGGCGGTTTTGGTCGTAACTTTTTGAGACAAGTTTTCGTTTATTAATTGATAAATTTTAAAGTGAAATAAATCATCCTCAAGTCTCCATACTAGCTGGTACTAAAGTCTCCCCGCTGGGAGTAAATTCAGTATATATCAATAAAGCCACATTCTCAGTATCATTAATTAAGCAATTGCCAACCTTTTATGTTTCCGCTATCACCTATTTATGTTTAGCTTTCAGTTGAGAAGCAAACGATTTCACTTGCGATTCGGTAGGGAAGGTCGAAGCATCACGATAATCAGCAGTTGCATGAGTAGACAGGAACACTTTGAAAGCAGCTACAGGCATACTATTGTACTCGGCTTACTACACAATATCTACCAAGGTGGTTCGAAGCGGTTTCTGAATACATCTGTGTGTTATTTGGAGATTTCCATGTTTCTTGTACTTGACCCTTAAGCTCGTGATGCACTAACGGATTTCAGTCACCTTACCACTTCAAATCAATTTTCCCAGCCTCAGCGCTAACAGAATGCGGAAAATGCCTTCTATATAGCCAATAAAAATGTACAAAAAATTTCAGTTCAAATTAAGAAAAACTGGATTTGGTAGTTTTTGTTCAACAAAAATGCCCCCCTGGCTCGGGAGCGGGGGCTGTTAAAATATAATACTACTTGGTTTTTCTCAAAACTAAGTCGCGTGAGCATGTGAACCCTGTAGTGTTATGGATTGTGATTCGTTGGAGTCAGTTACTATATTCTTATGTCTACGAACATACGAAAATATAAATATAATACTATCTATAGAGCCAAGAGCGTTCGTATTTTTTGTCCGGACTATGCGAATCAAAAGGTCTAAAGTTCGCGCAGCGATATTGATGAACACGTTCTGTACTTTTGTTGTTGGTGTTTGTGATTAAGCACGAAGCTACACAAAAGACTATCTGTTCTCTGCCCACCACGGGTATCGAAACCCGGTTTCTAGCAGTATAACTCCGCAGACATACCGCTGTGCCACTGGGGGGGGGGGGGTCTGTACTTTTAGCTGTTGGTACGTTATAAAAGTTTCAGTTAATCCTGATTAGCTACCTTCCCTCTGATCAGTTGTTCAAAATTAAAGATGAGTGTACCTGGACCATAAGAATATCTGAGTCGGCTATTTAGCCCATCTGAAAATATTAATACCTCTCAGATTTTAGAGTCCTAGGTTTTCAGATGCGGACATGCTTCTAATCAGCTGCTAAAAACTTCAAGAAAAGTTAACACGATTAATCATTATTTCAAGTTCTTTGACTGGGTATGATGGAAAGTACTACTAACCGTTTCAAAGTTCAAGAAACATACCAGAGTTTACGTAGAAACATTGTACATTTAACTGTTTAAGTTCGTAATGGATCAGTTCACACTATTCTGTAATTTAACCATTGATGATAACTATTGCAATTCATTAAAATAAAACAAAATCTATACAGATAACATTCATAAACATAAAAGGCTAGAAAAGGCCACATCTTGACTGAAAACAGAACAAGGCTGGATGAAAGGCTACAGCTTAGCAACAGAATAGGCCAGAAAGGGACATAGTTGAGGTAGAAAGAGAATAGGCCACAGCTTAGTTAGGAAAGGAATGAGGTGAAAATCGTTGCAGCTTAGATAGTACTGGCCAGAAAAAGTTCCATTTAATTACCAATAGAATAGACCAGAAAATACCACAACATGGATATGAGAAGAGAAGGCTTCCATTGAATTTAGGAAATGTTTAGGCCAGAAAAGGACGCAGCTTAGTTAGAAATAACATACGTCAATAAAAGACCGCACCTTAACCAGGAATAAAACAGGGAGAAAATGTCGCAGCTAAATTTAAAAACTAAAGAACAAACAAATTTCGTCTCACTTAAAACATGATTAAACCAGAAAAGGCTAGATGATGTTAGTTAGGAAAGGAACATGACGAAAAAATCTAGATTCTAATTACGAAACGAACAGGTAAAAGGCCAGTTCCTTACTTAGTACGAAGAGAGCAGGTAAAATGCCAGTTATTTACTTATTACGAAGAGAGCAGGTAAAAGAACAGTCCCTTACTTATTACGAAGAAAGCAGGTAAAAGAACAGTCCCTTACTTATTACGAAGAGAGCAGGTAAAAGGCCAGTTCCTTACTTATTACAAAGAGGGCAGGTAAAAGGCCAGTTATTTACTTATTACGAAGAGAGCAGGTAGGAAAAGGCCAGTTCCTTACTTATTACAAAGAGAGAGCAGGTAGGAAAAGGCCAGACATTATTTAAGATATAGAACAAGGTGTTTAGTATATTTTACTATAGAAAATGAATTAATTCTCGGGTTTTTAACCACAGTAATTCAGAATTCAGGAAGCTGCGCCTAATTATCAATATAAGAACTACATAAAAAAAAACTGGTTTAATTGTTTTGTTTTCTACGCTTTTAGCAAATGTTTCCGCTTTTTAAATCATCCAAATAATCATAACAGATACATGACCATCCAACAAAGCAATTGACATATTTGGCTTTCTGTTGTGCTTGGCTATTCTAAATATTGGTTCATTACATATAATATCGAAGTATGTAGAGTGGAATAATTTAAAATAACATAAACTCTCACCAACATCAACCCTGTCTCCACAATTGACTGTAAAGGCATAGGCACAATTTTCTGTGAGCTTATCACTGGGATCAAACACCAGACCGTTACCGCAGACCTTGAGCGTGGCGGTTCCATTGTCACATGACCAATATCTGTCGCAGTTTCTGGGATGGGGGAAAAATCCGTAGTATTCGGGACAGTTAAACACCTCACTCGTTTGAATGGGGGTCGACACATCGTTCTTCTTGCGCCCGTGGCCAGATCTCCTTGGAGGGCCCTGAGCAGCAGGCTGCTGTTTTTGAGGTGGAGATGGAGCAGTAACACCCTGCTGACGACGAGATGGAGTTTGAGCTCTTGCAGGGGCTGCCTGGACTCGCGTGGAAGGAGTCTGACGAGCTGAAGTGGTCCTTGTGTTAGTCACAGGCTCATCATCGTATTCGTAATCGTAGTAATACTCATATTCATTATCATTTTTAGTACCCTGTGGACTTGTCCTTTGTTGGGCAAAAACTGAAACATGACATTTCTTGTTAATTACTTATCAAAGGTTTAAAGACGAAACATTATCAAACTATTAATTTTTAATAAAAAAAACAAATAACTACTTATCTATATTACATTCTTAAGTTGTTCGAATTACAATGATATTTCCGCATTTGACTCGAGTTTACTAGAAAAAACTATGAACTGTGATTAGTAGATCATCTCTGCAGAATTTGAACAAGTGAAGTTAATCACAATATATATCTTAGTATACGTTTGTTTCCATTTTGGAGAAAAAAATGTCCCTGTAGATACAGTGAAATTTCATCTTAACCCTAATTTATCTTCAGCATTTATTTAATACAAAGGATTGTTGGATCACCATACCTGGCCTACAGATTATAGTCTGACATTAGCTAATATATATAAATATATCCTAGGTTGTGTATATTTAAATCCAAATAATTCAACCCTTGGTATCAATAACAATTTTTTGTCACTACCTCACAAAATAATGCAAATATATAGGTTCAAGATACATTTCCAGCATAGGTTCATTTTTTTTATCAAACCTTATCAACTTAGTGTTCTGCTTACGAACGTGGCAAACCACATTTCAGTATTCAATACATGGGTTCGAACATTATCGATATGAACTTGACAAACCATACTGTAGAATTTACCGTAGGTTGACATATACCAAACTGTAGTATTTACCGTAGGTTGACATATACCAAACTGTAGTATTTATCGTAGGTTGACATATACCAAACTGTAGTATTTACCGTAGGTTGACATATACCAAACTGTGGTATTTACCCTAGGTTGACATATACCATACTGTAGTATTTACCCTAGGTTGACATATACCATACTGTAGTATTTACCATAGGTTGACATATACCATACTGTAGTATTTACCGTAGGTTGACATATACCATACTGTAGTATTTACCGTAGGTTGACATATACCAAACTGTAGTATTTACCCTAGGTTGACATATACCATACTGTATTATTTACCCTAGATTGACATATACCAAACTGTAGTATTTACCATAGGTTGACATATACCATACTATAGTATTTACCCTAGGTTGACATATACCAAACTGTAGTATTTACCATAGGTTGACATATACCAAACTGTAGTATTTACCTTAGGTTGACATATACCATACTGTAGTATTTACCCTAGGTTGACATATACCAAACTGTAGTATTTACCCTAGGTTGACATATACCAAACTGTAGTATTTACCCTAGGTTGACATATACCAAACTGTAGTATTT